TATTATAATTGTATTCAACTTTAACTAAATTTCAGAATTTTTTTTAAAATTTTTTAATATGAAATAGTTATCTCCACATCATTTAAAATTAGGAAAGAATAGTTACTAGCGCTAAACAGCATTAAACTGTCTTTTTAACGCAGCTTTTATAATTATTGCAAATTTTTCTAACCATGCTGTGAGCTTTCAAAAATTTAATTTAAAAGCATTCATACTTTTTCCAAAAATTCTTGCATAATTGTTAAATTTTTTTTCTAAATTTAAGATCTGTCCTAAGGAGGACAATTATTAAATTATATGGAATTGTTTAATTGAGTTATTTATTTATTTTATTGAAATTCGTGGTAATTCGCACACTTAAATTTATATATAGTTTTATTAGTACTTATCTTTTTAAAACTATTTATGTATAGATCGAATAGCTACAATGTTTTTGATAATTATTTTTATTTCCAATAATTATTTGCTTGGTTATATTTTGGAGGGCGAATCAAAAATTGAAGGTAATAAGTCACTATTTAAGTTTAATCAGCTCTTAACAAAAATAAACATTAATTTAAATTTTAAAGTGTATGTCAAAAACCCAAACAAACAACAGTCTGTCTAATGCACAAATTCTTTCATGCACACATATTCGTAAACTACAGAAGCAATGACAGGAAAATGAGTCGCCATCAAGCATTCTGGACTGGACAGAAACGAGACATGGACGAGTGAATTACTACCTGACCTAGCTGCCAACAGGACATGGATGCTTTAGAGCATACTTCTTCAAATACAAGCACGACCAGAATAATATCGTCCAGCGTGAACAAGTATTGTACAAGATGCAGAGCACGTGTTCCTTCAGAACACAGGCCATACCTAACAACAGGGTTAATTTTATGCTGAGCTTCATAGAAAACTGGAGGCATGTTTGCGACTTCGCCTGAGAAATGATAAAGAACTGATAAAGCGCAGAGCATCACGTATCGAGTCTCAACTTGACTCTGGGGATGTTTAATTATTACACATAAAGATGGATTACTCCTCAATGGAATGGCAAGCACTATTCTTTCTTAACCTCTTCGCATGTCGTAAGTATACTGTTGGCTACCAAAAAGTGTTGCCTACATTTGGGGGCGCTGTGTTAATGAAAGAGTTTCCCAAACACGAATGCAATTAAACTGCTCCAAACAAAAAACGAGGTAACATTGGATTCTAAATAAGTGCATCACAAGCAACTGCAACCATTTTTTTGCAGCGCGCAATTTTGTTAATTTTCCAACTGCTTTGCTTCACCAAAGTTTTAATTAAGCCAAAGGCAAAAACGCTGTGAGTGGAACGTTAAGCAATAATAGCAACAACAACGAAAACGTATGCATTTACACCTCGATCCGCCCACAGCCACGTATTTCAGTCAGGTTGCGCTCCCATGGTGGCTCATTCATTCAAAATGTCGAACAATTCAAAAAATGTGTAACTATTTTGGACTTTGGATGCTGTGCCAGCATCTGAGCTGGCTTTCTGCCCTTTTACCTTACTCATTCATGACATGCCACAGTGGAACGAAATGGCATAGATTAATTAACTCGTAGAAATATTAAATAAATGTTTAATTAAAGCCAACTTGTAGATTGTAGATCGTATTGTAAATGTTTTGTTTGAGCAGACAAATAAGCACAACAACAAAAAAAAAAAGAAAGATAAAGCTACCTAACCTGATCTGTTTAATTAAAAACCGATGTATTGCTTGAACATAGTCAAATATCTAGACCATTGTGAATTTTGTATTTAATGTATTGTTTTACAATTGTAGTTTGTAATGTCCACCTCGAAAGATCATTGTTGTTATTCACACATAATCTCAGGCTAGATTTCCAGTATTTGTAATATTTACTTAGAACAAGTGAACACAACACTTATTTATATAAATGTATACTTCTTCATTGTGTATAAAATAAAAATATGAAAATTGTACGCAAATACCATTCCCGATGTGCTTTATTCTGTAAAATAATATATATATATTTTTTAATTTCATTAAACTTTTTTTGTAGCTTTTCAAAACTTGTTCAGAAGTTCAAACAACACGCATATGACTTGAGTAAAATACTAACGCATTCAAATCGATAAAAATCTATGTTAAAATAATCACGATTTCGCCCACTGTGCGGTTTCCTGTGCCTTACTCAGCTACCATTTTTAATTGTGTCGAACGCACGCGTTGCTGCCGCCTGCCGCATGCCGCATGCCGCTCGGCATTACTGTTAGATGCTGCTTGCGTCGCTCAGAGGTCAAAAAGCATGTGGCGCGTTGTTGGGTTAAATGTGTTGCGCTTTTGTTTGCTACACGAGTGTGTGCGTGTGTGTGTGTGTGTTCTGTAAATTTTTCTGCGCTGTTCATAACTCAAAATGGCAGAATATAGCAATGGCAGCTGCCACCATAGCTGCCACCATTGCTGATGCTGCTACTGTGGTTCGCTATGCGCTCTAATTGCCGGCAGCTCTCGTTCGCCCCGTGTTCGCACACACACACACACACACATACATAACACATGTGTGTATACATGTGCGCACAGTTTTATGTGTGTGAGTGCTTATCTTTTATGTTTATTAGCTGCGGCTTTTGCGTTTTGTGCCACACGCTTTGTCTATTTGTTTAATTGAAATAATGTAAGCGCAGAGTTTATGAAAAGCACGCTAAACAGTTCATTAGCGGCTTATCATCCGCCATTACACATACGACCCGTATACTTTTCTACTTCTAGCAAGCCGTCCATCCTGCTCGAATAGCAGCGCCTGATTATGGACTCCCGTAGAGCCCCATTCAAGCACAGACATCTCTTCATTCTCTCGTCATGCTTCGGTCTTCAGTCTCTGCATTTGTGGCATCCTTCGTGAGCAGCAGAGGCTGCAGCAGAAGGCCGCTGTGTACGGCTGCAATTGACGGAAATTGTTCACAAATCGTCTATAATGCCATTGTGTACAGTTTCAATAATGATAAGGGGACATTTGGATGTGAATGTCAAATAATTCAATACATTTTTATATTATTTTAAAGATGGAATAACGTCTTTTAATGAGAATAATTTGCAGTAATGCTCATAAGTATAATAATTATTATGCTCTGTATAATTATGTAAAATAATATTAAGCATAAGCAATAATAAAACAATTACAAAATTGGCTCAGCCAGTAATACATGGACGTTTGATTTTATAAATCAATATACTCATGTATATTTTTTTTGCAGTGTTTTATCAAAATAGCTTTTAAATAAAAGTCATTCAAGCTTAGAAACAAGCCAAATCGACTCAATATAGAAGGCAAAAGAACATGTTTCTATTTAATGATTAAATATTTTGGTATATTAAAAACAATTTTCTTAATCTGTGAATCTTGAGCCTTAAAAGCCATTACTGTTTTTTAAAATAAATTTAAAATTGAAACTATTTCCCACAGCGATGCATGACTGTCAATTAAGTGGCTTACTCACCATAGAAACATTTCTGCTCATATTCCAAAATGGAATTGCTTTAAGCTTCTTCAACATTTCCACACAACACGGCAACAGACGCTTGCAGGAGCACGATTCTATAGCCGCAGTATTTATGCACATATATACAAGTATATCGAGAGTTGGAGAGCTCAAGAATAGGCGACATTGGGAATCAGTGCGTGGTGCATCAAGCTATTGAGTGATCAGAATTGAGATGTTCTGGCTGGGATTGAAAGCAATGCCAACCCAAGGACATATCAACGGGCATCAATGCCAGCAACTGCTGCGCCTTTTGTTCATTGCCAGCACGAGTGCTCAGCAATTCGGCACAGCCATGAAGATAGTCAACAAAAAAAGGAGGAAAGAACGAAAAGTCTCTCTACAGCGAGCTAAGAAGCCATAATCATAGCGGCATTAGGCAAGAGCTCCTCAATCCTTTGCCAACAAACCCAGCACCCAACAATGATGTGAGAAGCTATAGTCTGGTTAGTAAGGGTTCGTCCTTCTTTCCCATTACACCTTCCACAACTTGGTCTTAAATGGTCAGCTCTCGACTGCATGTCTCTTTTTTCACGCGCCTCTGCATCTTCATGATCCAACACCAGCTTCGCCATTAAATGCAATGCAACTGTGAAAACAACACGTATGCGTGTCAATGCGGCGCCATAATTCTCCCCCACAAATCCAGCGTCGAGACGCACAGTTCCGGCGATTTGTAATGCGAACGTAATGACGTCTTTATATAACCAACAGACCGCCAGCCAGCCAAGCGAGCGTTGTGATTATTCTCTCCAGTTCATGGCATAACTGGCTGTGTGTAATCACAGATGAGATGGGATGAGTTGCGGCCAACACTTGGCAGTTGCGGCCCTTAGTGCCGATTAAATTGGTTAAAGAGTTGAATTATTTAAGATGATTAAGTGACGCACAAATAAATGAAAACAAAAAAGCAACCTTTCTACAATATTGTATTGATTCAGAGACATATAGACATAAGAAGATTTTGAAATAAACCAAGGATAATTGTATAAAAATAAAGATATGAAAAATAAGTTTAATATAATATTAAATTCTCTCCACTAAGGATAATTGTAAAAAAATAATGCTATGACAAATAACTTAATTAATATAATAAAAATTAATAATAATAATATTAGAATCTCTCCACCGGAATTGACTGAAAAGGAGAGCTACTCAATATTGAAGAGTTTCGTTATGTATTTCTTTCTATATATGTTAGTTGTTTAAAAACAGCTTTTGATAACTCAGAAATCAAATAAAAAGCGCATTTTGATTTGTAGAAATTGTTCATTTCAAAAGGTCGTAGAAAGTGAATCTAAAAACTATTTGTGTTGCTGCAAAGCTCAGTTATTTGTAATTACTTAAATGAAATGAAATTTATGACTTCAGCTTAAGTCGCTTGATAATCAAAAAACAAAAAAATAAATTCGTAAACATTCAGTTCATAGCTCGAGTTTTCAGAAACTACGAGTCTGTTTCCCTTCCACATGCAGTTTTTGTTTTTGTAGTGAGCCTAATCTTTTATTATTATTATTTACGACTCACTGGAATATGCAAAAAATATATAGGTGCGTGTCTTGTGTGCTGTAACTGAAATATAAAATAAATACAACGCGGTATCATGTGACTTCATCTTAATTAGTCCAGCCCGGCTGGTGGCCTTCCGAAACTCTGTGCCATTAGCTTATCTGCGACCTTTAAATCGCAGCTGCTGGCCCGCAACTTGTTGTTGCCGGGCGGGTGGGCGATGGGTTCGAGCATGGCACATTGGTACAAGTAGTTGGCCAAGGACATGGCATTCATGCCATTCATGTCTGCTGGTGGCAGCGATTGTAGTTGCAACAGTGGCCTGGCTGTGGCATTTACTTGTTGGGCCACATTCTCGTTGCTGTGTCTACTGCAACTACCTAGTTCGAGCTGAGGCCGCGCGATGCCACCATTGTTGGGCCCCTTGCTGCTATTTGTGGTTAGCAGCGCTGTCTGCGGCGCCAGTGTTGGCTGCTTCAGCCACATGTGGTGCTTTGTATTGGCAGTCGCACCGCCGTCCATCCTCAAGCAATAGCCGTGGGTCAAGGCTATCGAGTGGGAGTGTTAATTGCAGATAAACGTGATTCCGATGCGCCACTTACCCGCCAGATAATTGCCGAGTAGCCAAAAGTTGCACAACCACTTCAGAATTGCAAACTGCATGCTAATTAGCTGCTGCCTTACTGCCCAGTACTTTCTCTGTATTTCCAGCTTCTATTGTAACTGATGCCTTTTGCTCGAGCTGAACTGATCTGACGACAACGACTGGCTGCCTGGTTGGTTGGTTGCTTTGCTTGCTTGTTTATTCAAGGGCTGCTAATTTAGCCTTCTCTATTTTGTTTTGGGGATTTTTATTCCATTTTACTTTTTCTCCAGCGCATCATGAAAGTTTTTCGCAAAACTTTTGCGCATCTTCGCATTCTTGTTGATGTTTTTATCTGTCGCTGTCGTCGACGTTGTCGCTAAATCCATTCAAATTGACGCATTGACAATTGTTTTACCAATTTCATTTCGCTTGTTTTTCGACAGTCACCTTCCCCCTTCCCCTCCCCAAGGCGCTATTGCGTAGCTTGCTTCTCCATTTCCCCTCTTCCACTGCCCCATTGCTGCGTTGCTTGCTTGTCACATTGCATGTGCGGAATGCAAGCTGCAAAAGTTTTTGACAGTCTGCCACCCGTTTCCTTGCCTCGCCATGTAGCTTGTTCTGCAACTTTCTCTGCTCCTGTTAGATGAAAGGGTATGCTGCAAAGTTGGTTAGGATTGCAACAGGCAGAAGGAGCAGCAAGTCTGTCAGATCCATTTGTTCGACTGTATGAACCTTAATATCTCTTGAACAACAATAGCTTGAGACACCTAACGTGGGCATGTAGACTTTACTCACACATATGCAGATGAAGTCTATGAGAAATCATTATATGTAGCGCCATTGTTTTGTATAGCCGTCATAGGAAGCATATATTCAAAATCCATATTTTGCGTGTAATGGTTTCTTAAATCAGTTCACCATAAGATATCGTACTTAATAGCAAAATATTGTTCGTTTATATAACCTTAGCTTTCTATATCTTAGCTACAGAACAGTTTTTTATAATGGTTTGTCAAAGGGCGTGTTTTATTTAAATTCAGAGCAAACTTTTTTATTAGCAAAAAATAATATCGTTCTTTCAATATCGATAATAAACTAGATTGATAGATTATGTTACTGCCTTTGACACAGTTAGATTCTTCACATCTACCAAAATCTTTGTACCATATTAGTACTACAGTTCCCATTGCAAATTAACATGGGTGAAATCGTTTTCTATGGCAACAAATTGTTAGTTAGGGAGTGTACAAAAGAGTCGAAAGTTTGCCAGACTTATGTTTGAAATTTTCTTGCTTCTCAGTGTGGCTTGTTCTGCATTTTTAGGGCAAGTTTTTGCCTCATTTTTTCCATTCTTCTTCCCTTTTTTGCTTGTTACTTAACCATTTTGACAAGCCATGGTGTTGTTCTTGTTGTTGTTATTATGCTACTTTTTGTTGTGATTCGAGCTTTGCTTTTTTGGCTGCTTGCTGCTGCCAATATTTTCTTGGTTTTTCTTTTTTGTTATTTGCAAATTTAAAGCTGTCGTCTTAACTGACTGGCACTTGCATTTAAACTTTCCCACAATTCAGTCTGCTGCCATTGTTGTTGCCTACTCTTAGGCGCCACACACACATACACATTTACTCACACATTTACTTTATCAAAACATTTTCAAGTTGAAGTGCGGCTGCAAAAACAAAGCGCCTTCTATTGATTTTCTCAGGACTCGAAGCAGCTGCCAAGCAAGTTGCAGTTGCAGTCGCAGTCAGAGTCTTGCCACTTGCCCCCTGCATATGCAAACACACGCAGAGGGCTACAAGGAAAACAACTCAATGCACGGCACTTAAGCAGCTGAAGTAGCAGCTCAGGCAGCATCTCAGGCAGCCGCTCAGGCAGCAGCTCTGGCAGCAGCAGCACAAACAACAACATTATCAAAAGGAATGAGCAGCAAGTGTAACATCAGAAGCAATGGCGTTGTGGCATTTGCTGCAAGGTGGCAAACTTTCTTTAACAACAGAAAGCAATTTGTGTGCCATTTGCCTAGGTTTATGCAACGTTGTTACACAAGTATGTATAAATAAGCGTGTGTGTGTGTGTGTGTGTGTGTTGGTGTGCTTTGTGAAGGCAAACAATTGACCAGCTGCTGCTCAGCAGATTATCAATGCAAAATATTTTCAGTTGCTTCAACTTTTCTCCACAAAATAAAAATAAAAAATCAATATGTGAATAGAAAATAGTTTAAGCTGTGTTCTCTATTTATGGCAAAGCAAATATTGAATATGTTCACAAATAAAATGTGATTCAACACTAATATTTAAAGCCCTTTCTATTGCATAACAAGTTTTTCATTTTCTGTACAACTTTTTTTTAAGCCCACCCTTTAAGCCCAACCTTTTTATTTAATTTTCTCTTTAAGAAAGTCTGTGTTTTACTGAACACGCGGATTATTTCACATAAAGACTTTTGCTTTTATATTAGTTTGGAGTATATATTTACTTACTTACTTTACTTCTAAAGATATTTTTTTGTAGACAAGAAAATCATATTTAAGTGCAGAAATCCAATTGTCTTTAACTGAAATAGCATTATATTTTTGACTTATATGTGAAATATAAATAAATTCCAGATTGGAATAATCGAAAATGATTCAATAAATCTAAGATGGAAAGGCACAAGCAGGATAAGAAGAAAAGATCGCCAAATCTTGTCTGTTATATATATATATTCACATTAAACGTATTAGTTTGCGAAATTTGTTAAATGAATATTAAATTTCTTGAATAATATACCATATATTTCAATAGATTTATTTAATATAAAAATAAATAATTAATAATTAAATGAAATAAATAATTAAATAAGACTAAACTCCTAGTTTAAGCTGTATTTGCATATTTCTATAAGTTTAATTTAAGTTGTTGTAAATAATAACAGTAAAATTAAAGTTTTATAAAAAAAAAAGAATAATACACCAGTGCATATAAAAGAAATGTATAACTATAAATATAAATAAATTAGTAAATATATATGCAGCTCAAGGTCGATTTTATGAAGTTGGTTTTGCTCTGCTCTATAAATTGTGTTTATAATTAGTGCAACGCCTTTTTATTTGATCACATTATGTGTTTAGCTTCTATTTGTTGGATTTGTTTAGTGCTGACACATTAATGCACTCGCAGGCGATGCATGTTTATCTACAACTAAGTCAAGTTGCCAATCTCATTGTGCTAATTCATTTAGACGAGCTGTAGGTTCCGGCCCCAGCCCCTGCCCCCGCCTCGCCTTTCGCTGGCAGTCCAGACCCTATCGCAAGGCAAACGCAAACTTTCCTCATTAAAATTATGCAAAAAGGTGCCTGCAACTGGCAGGCTGACATGGCAGGCACACGTACTCAACACCCACACACACACTCGCACACACACACTCGCACACACACACTCGCACACAAGCTCTTATCAAGTGCTGGCGACGGTAACGAGCGGCAGAGACGGCGGTAACGGTAACTCGCACGTGCATTTCATTTGATAAATGTTGTCGTCTTTGCCGCAGCGTCGCTGATTATGCAGCGCTGCCTGCGTCGGCTTCGGCTTCGGTATCTCTTACGCTTAATGTATGTGTGTGTGTGTGTATGTGTGGGTGCAGTCCTTCTTTTCGGCTCGCATATCCTTTTATTGCGAACGCGCGCGCGCACGCGAAATTATAGCGCAAAATGCGAGCTCACCAGAGTCATTTGTATGCGGCGTCATGTTTTTCAACTACACGTATGTCTATGTGCACTGAAAGAAAATAGGTGGACATTTCAAAAAAAAATCCATTAAATATCTTAACAAACATTTCTGTTGATGTGAATAAACTGATCTCCAAATGAATCTGTGTACTAGTATTTAAGATAATATTTAAATGAAGGCTTTTATAAACATTTAAGCAAAAATTTACATATATTTGAAATGCTTAAAATATTTTCCAAACTAATTTTAAAATTGTTTTAAAATATAAAAGAGGAATGGAAGTTTTTTGAATAGAACATCAAAATCATTTTTCAAATTTTTTGCTGGCCAAGTGTCATTATTCGGATAATTATAGCAACGTATATAACTAGATAAATAAAAACTTTTAATGTAATGAAAAAGGAAGTACAAATTGTTATTATTCGTAAATCGAGATCAATGATTCAAAGTCTTTAAGTTATTTTAGATAGTGCTCTTCAAAAACCTAAACTGAGATTCCAAATATATTTCGTCTTGTAACAATTTTAAAGCAAGAGAACTGTGTGCTTCTGCTGGAGATCACCTGATAAGGATTCTGTTTCAATACAGCAATAACATTTCCGAATGAGTTTCCGACATATTTTTAACTCTCAAAAGCTGATTTATAAAAGCAAGTTGGTTTACAAGTTACAGGACAATTAAGTGTAAAATTCAATATCGATGTTTTCGTTTGCTTTGCTTTCTCTTTTTCACTTTTCCGCTGATACCTATAACTACCCCTGTTGAATGACAACAGCTTGTTTGAATTAACAACAATGATACCCTTCCTGCCTTTGTCAGCACCTTCACTACAACAGGTCCTGACACAATTTGTTGTCCTCTTTGTTTTTGCAAAAAGCTCTTCTTTATATAATAATTAGGTCGTTATTTTGATTTCAATACCACTTTTACCATAAAATATGGCGGCCCATATAGTTTATGAATTTTATGAAATTATTTATCAATACAAGTAATATTTGTTTAGGAGCTAGAAAGTTTTCTTCATTTTCGGTGCAGAGTTTTAAGTTCAATGCAAAAAACCACAACTAAATTGAAGCTCCAATAGTTTTAGACTTAGAAGAAAAATTTAATTTATGAATCACCATTCTTTTTTTTTGCATATAAAAAAGACTTAAGTTTTTCCAATTCAGAAACAGCTGCACATATTAAGTTGACTTATTTGAAGTGTAAAAGTGTGTATAAAATTTACACCAGCACGCGTTAACTAGCTACCTAGACATGTGCGTGTGTGTGTGTGTGTGTGTTTGTATTTGTGTGTGTCACTGTGTCGCCGCTTGTCGCACGTCGCTGTTGTAACTCGCAACTTAAATGCGCACGTGATGTCTGTTCCTCCTGCCTGCCGCTTCCTGCCACATCCTGCTCCTTGCAGAGCCTGTGTTCCTGCTGCCGCTGCTTTATTGCGTGCACA